GGCCCCTAACGACCAATTATCCTTTGTTCCATTCCCAGAGTTATAATGTTCCATTTAAACTTCAGATAATAATAATCTGATATCTTGGTTTAATTAAGGGCGAGTCTTCAGTCAACCTTCACCCTAATTAACCATTACATCCCTTACAATAAAGACACCTTTTACTTCATCAGATATCAGTGATGTATCTTAATGAATACATCAGGTCGTCGCACACCTCTGATTAATAAGTAGTAATGTAAGAGAGCTGATAGCGTGACGATTGTCAGGTTTTGCATATCATACACTAAGGATATAACAAGGCTAATCTGTGAACCATAATGAGTGCACATGTACATTGTCCTTACAAAAGGCAAAGCCTTGGTCAGTGTCTTTCACAGTCCAACACAGCATTGTCTAGTGCAGAGTTTTCCAGTGATCAGGAGAGGCTAGATGCACCTTTACCATGAAGAGAGACACTGTTGCTATCATTCTTGTCTGTCTGTCTGCGGTTTGCGCTCAATATGGTAACCAGGTTAGTATATTACATCGTCATACTAGATAAAAGTGGGAGTTTAAGAAACCAATGAAATGGGGGGATTTTAAAAAGAACACATTCATCCATGTTCCTTTCAGTAACAAACAGTCATAATTTTATGACTAGAGAAATGTCGACATACATGTAGTTCAGAGAGCTAGGAAGAAGGTTCGGTTTTTACAGACAATGAAAGATTCAATCTTAGAAAGTAAAGATTTATATAGACCATGGGCCTAACACAACTTATAAGATGACAGATTGTATTGTGTGACATCGTAAAAAAGCCGTAGGTAGTAAAGACAGAGGATCTTTAATCATTTGTGCCGCCATAATGTGCCGTCATCAGTTCTGTGATCACACAACTTACACATCTAATTGCACAGTATGCGTGTAACATTCAACCTCTTCAAATGATTAAATAAGGTATAAGCATCTTGCATTTTTGATTTCAGAAATAATCTTGTTATGTATTGTAGATATATATTTTTACTTCGACCTCCGTCCCAGCATGCACCTTACCTCCCGCCTCCTCTAACTGCTATAGCTCTCTACCTGTATTATCTGCATACAGATGTATTAACTGCTATAGCTCTCTACCTGTATTATCTGCATACAGATGTATTAACTGCTATAGCTCTCTACCTGTATTATCTGCGCACCTGTTTGTCTTTGACACCATATGTTCTATTCTTTCAGATTATAACACAGTCTTTGTTAAGAACTCTGAG